TGTTTTCTTGTTTGGGAGATTCTCTCTGCAGTTATAAAATAAAACCACCCTAATGATATCAATGTTGCCACTGTTAAGATAAATGAGTACCTCCTAGTGTTTAATTTCTGCAACTAACTTTACAAATTTAAAACTTATTGAAACCTAGATTCTAAACACTACATTTGAGGGCTGGCCAGATAGCTCAGCAGACTAAAGCGCCTGCTTAGGCAGAGCGTGGCCAAAGTTCAAGCCCCAACCTGCAGCAATGCCAACCCATGCTGGCCCTGCCCCCAGGGTGCACTGAGTGGGTGATTGAGACTGAACATGGTGGCACACCTATAATCCCAGCACTTGTGAGACTGAAAGCAAAAGAGAATCACTATGAGTCCGATCTACATAGTGAGACCCTGTGGACCCTGTACTAAATAAATAGACACTACATTTGAGAAATGCTTCCCGCAACCCTCATGTTTATGATAGCAAAGTAAAAGAGTAAAAACAATATAATGTAAAAATTAATATAACCACATGCTATTTTGTTTTGTTTTTGTATTTAGTACAGGGTCTATAGGGTCTCCCTACGATCACTATTGGACTCATAGTGATCCGATCTGTGGATCTGTGTTCACCTTCCCAAGAGCTGGAATTACAGCCGTGCACCATCACACCCAGTCTCAGTCACTGTCTCAGTGCACCCCCCATGAGTGGGGCCAGCTCAGCACGTCTGGGGATGAACCGGCTGCTGTGTCTGCCTAAGCAGGCGCTTTAATCCACTAAACTATTTGGCTAGCCCTCATATGCTATTAAAATATGGAAAACAAATTTACTGTTTTTGAATTTTAATGCAGATTTAGGCCTCCTTTAAATTGTATCAAATTATAGATTTTATTTTGTTTTACATTACAAATGCAGTAGGGGATTGAACGCAGGGCTTCAAGTATGCTAGGCAAGCACTCTACCACTGAGCTATATCTCCAGCCTTTTTTGATTTATTTATATTTTGAGATGGGGTCAAGTTTCAAGGCCATATGTTGGCCCAGGTAATAGCAGTGTACACTACTAGTTGGAATACAGGAAGTCGTTTAGTCATTCTGGAACCAGTCATCCTGGACATAAGTCATACTAAGACAACTTGAGATACCATAAAGTTGCCCAAAGACAGTTATAACTTGGATTAAAATATTTGTAATAATTTTGTATATATTTGCCTCCCAGATATAACTTCCCCTAAATTTATTAAATTGATGAATTATCTCTCTTTTGGGTAGGGGAGCTAGATTGAAACTAAGGTCTTGTGCATTCTAAGTGTACTCTACCCCTGAGCTGCATCCCAGTCTCCTGCTTTATGAGTTATCTTGCTGTTCCACACTAGTTCTCTATGTCTGTATTTCGTTGACCCTGGTTTAAATCAGTCCTATGATTCATACTCTAAATTTCACCTCTACCCTATATACCTTGTAATTTAACTATACAGTAAATACAAATTAAATCCTACAAGTCATAATTTCTCATAAGATTTGAAAGCCAGACATATAGTAAAGACCATACTCCTGTATCTCTTGCCTATTGTTAGAATTTTTATTTATTTTTTTTTATTTTTTGCAGAACTGGGGATTGAACTCAGGCCCTTGCACTTGCTCGGGAAGTGCTTACTCCACTGAGCCATCTCCCCAGCCTCTCTCTTGCCTATTGTTAAGAAAAGTCGTAGGGCTGGGAAGATAGCTTCATGGTCTAAGTGACTGCCTGGCAAGTGCAAGGACCCAGGTTTGATCCCTGGTACCACATGCTATGCCAGCACTGTGCCTGCCCCAAAACTGGGTATGGTGGTACACGCTTGCAATCCCAGCACTAGGGAGGCTGAGACAGGAGGATCACTGCAAGTCTGAGCTGCATAGTTAGACCCTGTACCAAATAAATAAATAAGGTTTTTTTTTCTTTTTTTTATGAAAGGTCATAGCCCTGAGTACAGTGGAACATGACTGTAATCACAGCTATTGAGGAGGTTTAGGCAGAGGGATTGTAAATTTGGGGCCAGCCTTAGCCATTTAGACCCTGTCTCAAAATTTTAAAAAAAAGGTTAGTAAAATGCTTGCATAGCATTCATAAGACTTGTGAGTTCAAACAAAAATAAAAAGAAGGGTCATGGAATGAGGAGATCTTTCTATAGCATCTGTTTTCTAGCTTTATAGGATGAAGGGTAGGTTTAATTAATAGTGTTAAGCTTTTTCTTCCAGCAAAACTGAGGAGGCCTCCAAGACTTATTAGCCTACTGGAACATTTTTGCATTTGTTTCTGGAGAGCCCCAGTCTAGTACCATTCTTTCTGCCTCTCTAGTGATATTTGAAGCACCTAAGTGCCTATAGCACACCTTTCCAGTGTGCTGGCTTGGAGTTGATGGGTATATCAGAGCAAGTTATTTGTAGTCAGGCTACTTTCCCAGAATTCTGCTATTTGCGTAAGTTCTTTTTTCTGCTTGGCCTTAGCTTCCCACATGCTCGTAGAACTCTCTTGGTTTTTT